CTCTTCTAACGCTTTTTGTATGTGCATATTTAGATAACACAAATTTAATTCTAAACATTTACAAAATTAAGTTGTGTACTATACTATCGTGTGTAATAACAATAATAATCTATTTATTTATACATATGAAATTAAATAAATTTCGAGATTGCTCGCAGTCTTGTACATCGAAATTGTTTTGAAATTTAGTCGTGCCCGTCATTTTGTGCTTTAAGTATTCGGTTGATAGATTGTATAAACTTCTAAAAAAGTTATTTTTGAGTCTGTATTACTAATCTCTTTTGCCATTTTTAGAAGTAATTATTGCGAAATTATATTTCATTCCCAGATAATATATGAAAGTAAAAACATTTTTAATGGAAACTTTATTTCTTTGGTGATAAAAATACAAATTTTGATTGTAGGTTAAAACAAAAAAAAGCATATCACGTTACAAAAAGCCTAAATTTATAGAGATCACAGTGAGAATCGTTAAAAAAATATTTTGTTTTTAAACTTTTTCGGCATACATCCCTCTATTCTGTATTGGTGTTTAGTCTCGTATAGCACGCTATTTTCTTGGAACATATCTACCGTGTTATATGAAGAATATCTGTGTATCCTTTCTTACTGCCCTCCCCCGAAAATTAAAATGTGTGCTTTTAGTTAATGTAATCAGCTAATTATTTCAAAAGCAAATCATTATTTTGAAGTAAATTGTCATAATTTTATTTGTGTTGTTCATACGCATATCTCATTCTGAGAGTTATCTCGTAAAAGTTTCAGCTTAGGGTCTTACTAACCTTGTTCTAGGAATTAGATTACATTACACACAGATATATATATATATATATATATGTTCAAAGTGAAGTAAAAAATCGGAACATATATATATATATATGCGTAAAGAAACCTAATATAAGGCTAAAAATTCAAAACAATTTTTTTATTCCTGTCCTGCACTATGGCTGTTGGATTGAATGTGCAATAAACTTAAAGCATAACAAAAACTGAGGAACGTCTTTGAAAGGTACAAAGTAAAAACCTATGTAATCCGAGGAAAATCATAAAAACTGCTGTGTAAGAGACGGGAAAAAAATTCAAAGTGCATATTAGATATCTTTCTGCTCTAAATTTGCATAGTAATTTTCTAATGTAAATTCAAAGTGCATATTAGATATCTTTCTGCTCTAATTTGCATAGTAATTTTCTAATGTAAATTCAAAGTGCATATTAGATATCTTTCTGCTCTAAATTTGCATAGTAATTTTCTAATGTAAATTCAAAGTGCATATTAGATATCTTTCTGCTCTAAATTTGCATAGTAATTTTCTAATGTAAATTCAAAGTGCATATTAGATATCTTTCTGCTCTAAATTTGCATAGTAATTTTCTAATGTAAATTCAAAGTGCATATTAGATATCTTTCTGCTCTGCATGTAGTAATTTCATAGTTTGCTCTAAATTTGCATAGTAATTTTCTAATGTAAATTCAAAGTGCATATTAGATATCTTTCTGCTCTAAATTTGCATAGTAATTTTCTAATGTAAATTCAAAGTGCATATTAGATATCTTTCTGCTCTAAATTTGCATAGTAATTTTCTAATGTAAATTCAAAGTGCATATTAAGATATCGTTCTGCTCTAATTTGCAAGAATTTTCTATGTAAATTCAAAGTGCATATTGATATTTTTCTGCTAAATTTGCAAGTAATTTTCTAATGTAATTCAAAGTGCATATTAGATATTTTTCTGCTCTAAATTTGCCATAGTAATTCTAATGTAAATCAAAGTCATATTAGATATCTTTTCTCTAAATGCATAGTAATTTTCTAATGTAATTCAAAGTGCATATTAGATATCTTTGCTCTAAATTTGCATAGTAATTTTTAATGTAAATCAAAGTGATATTAGATATTTCTGCTCTAAATGCATATAATTTTCTAAGTAATCAAACTGATAAGATACTTTCTGCCTCTAAATTGGCATATGTAATTTTCTAATGTAAATTCAAAGTGCATATTAGATATGTTCTGCGCTAATTTGCATAGTAATTTTCAATGTAATTTCAAGTGCATATAGATATCTTTCTGTCGAAAATTTGCTAGTAATTTCTAATGTAAATTCAAAGGATATTGATATCTTTCCGCTTAAAATTTGCATAGTAATTTTCTATTAATTCAAAGTGCATTAGATTCTTTCTGCTCTAATGTAATTCAAGTGCATATTAGTATCTTCTGATCTAAAGTAGATAGTAATTTCTAATGTAAATTCAAAGTGATATTAGAATTTTTGCTCTAATTTGCATAGTAATTTTCTAATGAAATCAAAGTGCAATAGATATTTTCTGCTCTAAATTTGCATAGTAATTTCTAATGTAATTCAAGTGCATATTAGAGCTATCTTGCATAGATCTAATGTGCATCTTTCGTAAAATTTTCTAATGTAAATTCAAAGTGCATATTAGATATCTTTCTGCTCTAAATTTGCATAGTAATAGTCAAAATTTTATATTTGCATAGTAAAAATTCAAAGTGCATATAGATATCTTTCTGCTCTAATTGCTAGTAATTTTCTAATGTAAATTCAAAGTGCATATTAGATATCTTCGCTAAAATTTGCATAGTATTTCTATGTAATAATTTGCATAGTAGATATCTTTCTCTCTAAATTTGCATAGTAATTTTCTAATGTAAATTCAAAGTGCATATTAGATATCTTTCTGCTCTAAATTTGCATAGTAATTTTCTAATGTAAATTCAAAGTGCATATTAGATATCTTTCTGCTCTAAATTTGCATAGTAATTTTCTAGACTGCGTCTTTCCTTTTCCTGCTCGCTTATGTAATCTTCCTGCATTGCGACAGATCGTATCCAATTGCACACCCAAAATTTAGACAAAGAAATCAAGTCTATAAATATCACTGCTACGAATGCACAGTGCTTTTTTCCCTCCCTTGCCTTGCCTAGTGCTAGCCACGCATCGTTGCCACTCCGCTTCGCCAATTGTTTAAAAGATGTAAGATATACAAAATTATGGAGTGCATCACGCACCCAAAAATAATGTGGACCACAAGAATTACGTGGGAAATAAAATTATGTGTCTTGTTATCTACGCCATCTATCTGCCTGCTATCTATCTGTTTCTTCTACTCCGTATCCATCTGTATGCCAGCCACATCTGTAACCATCTCATCTATGACCAACAAGTAATTGGTGTCCTCTCTCCTATGTATCCTAAATTTATAATATACATATACATGTAAAAATGGTTTTCAAAGCTTATACCCGTTTCGCGGATAAAAGAATAATCGGACAGCCTTCACAGATTTTCTTACGGTATTTTCATCTAAAGAACATTTCAAAGCGTTATATAATGTTCACTATCAGTAAGTGTTTAAAATGCATCTTTAAAATGGCAATATATTTACAATATGTTATGTCAAAATACACTGTTGTATGTGGGTTATAATATTTCTCATTTATTATCCCTTACTTGATCAACTGGTAAAACTTAATAAAATACGCATAAAAAACCCAACGGAAATGAGTTTACAATTGTATCAGAAAAAATTAACGCGAATAATTTGAGTATTGGTCAAAACAGCCAAGAAGAACACGTGCACATTTGAAGTTGGGTCAAAAAACTGAAGGCTATTGGCATGAATTACGCTTTGATGAAAAAGAAAATTAAGAAACATAAAAGGGAGAAAGACAAATTCGGATCAGTTAACTGGCGGAGAAGGGAAAAGGAAAGAAAGAAACTCGTTAATCAAGTTGCAAAATGAGTAAGATGAATAAAAATTATAAAACTGAAAGAAAGCCAAAAGAGAAAAGTTAAATTTTACCTCATTTAGTGTTAAATAGCAGAGTGGTATCGGTTCAGAATAAAGTAATGAGTTGTGAAACTAATGATCATAATTCATAAAGTAATTCAAATTGCGTATAGGTAAAGGTAATTTTAATTTTTTGCATTAAGTAAAATTATTAGAGACCCAAAAAAGCAGCCTTTTGCGTTAATGACTTATGAAGAAAATTCGATTGGCTTTGTTTATTTGATTATGGCAGATCTGTCATGAGCTATCTGCCTAAGGGAAGAGATAACCTTCGTGGAGGACTTTCTAAGGGAAACTGACTCCCATACACGTTACACATAGGGAAAACCACGAAAACGCTCATGCAGCCAGCCCGTTCGCCGGGAAGTTGAACCCCGCACCGAACTACCAGTGTTCAGCGTCTTTACCGCTCGGCCGCTGGTGAGCTAATGAAAATTAAATGATTTAATTTATTAATAATTAAATGATTTAATATTTAAAATGATGACTTTATAAAATGATTTAATTCAGACTTAAAAGTGAAATTGTTCAAAATAATTAGCCAAAACTTTTAGATCGTGTCTCAAGTTTGAATCTTCCTAAATGCATTACAGGAAGTCAATATAGATCTAGACCAATGGTTTTCACCGTTTTTTGGTACCATGTAACTCCTTTCACCATTGCTAGATTATCATCCCCTCTTCTCGTTTCCCAAACTAAAAAAATATACGTATATTTATTTAAATTTAGACTATTTTTTAATGTAATTTATAAATTAAACAAGAAAAAGGGTGGAAAATGTAGAAAAATACCAAAATCTGAATAAAAGTAGTTTTTCCATATTTATGAATTTATCAGTCAATCATAAACTTATCTTAAAACTAGGAACAGCATTTTATTTTTATATTCACTATCTTATTCATTTTAGTGAACGAACCGTTCTGATCGACCTCATAAAAAAGTGATTTTGAACATCTCTACTTGTTGAAACTATGAAATTCCCCAACGGAGGGAATTCCCATCTGTTTGAGATCCTTGATCTAAAGAGAATGACATAATATTATGTTTTACATTGCACTGGGGTATGTTTTGCATTTTATCTTAATACTTTAAAGGTCCTAGCATTATTTATATTACTAGAATTTGACTCATGTCTTTGGTACTAAATTCAAGAAAGGTTAGTAATTTTAAATAAAAATCCACTTACCAGGTTTGTGCAGAAAGAGTTGCAATCTTTGAGATCAGTGCATGAATAAGAGGATCTCATATCTGTGTGTTTGTAGACAGTCAATTGCCCTACATGAAGCGAGCAGGAGCAAGATTTTTCTGGTTTCATATATGTTGCCGGATGGTGCATGTGTGTAGATGGATGATGAACTGGCAAACCATGATGGGCAACAGGCCTGTTTTGTAAAGGTCTGTTTGGCGTAAAATGATGAGGATAATAATGATTAGGATAATATGGATGGTGCGGTAAAGATCTAGGTCCCGTGCCTCCGAAAAGGAATGGTTTTATTTTTGCAAAAATGGATGGCCTGGGTACCTGTTGACTATAGGCTCCATGGTAAGGGCTACCGAAAACATTCTTAAAGGGATATCTTGGGCTGGAAGGTGGAGGCATGATGTGAGGACCTTTGAGCAGACTATGATGGTGACTAGCAGCAGGTGCGTAGGGAACATGATTATACATTGGATGTGGTGGAGGAGGAGGAGGTCGTGCAAAGAATGGAACAGGTGCTGCGGCTCCTCCGTGTAAAGGTGGAAGAGGGGGTCCATATTGAATTGGTCCTGGTGGTCGAGCTGGCACTGGACCAATAAACGGAGCAGGTTGCGGGTTTGGAGGATAAGGTGCATAGTGATGACGATACACTACCCTTGGAGGATGGGACTGCTGTCCATGCCAATATGACAAAACGCTGTAAAAGAAATCGTAAGATTAAAATTTAATTTTATGTTCAGAATTTAATCTTATACTTTCACAAATAATGAGTAAACATACAAAATAAAGAGTCTTATTGTTTCAGAAAAGGATCACTAATACATAAATGATTATGCTGCTAGTGGACAATCTGAAGTTAAATGGAATATGCCGTAAACTGTAGCAAATAGATAGTGTTTAATATGTAGCTGAGTTGCTTGGAATTGTCGTCTCGAGTTGTTTAAAGACCTTGTCGAACTCGTGGCGCCATCTGTCAATGGTGCTATGAAAGGTCCTTGGCCTGCTCAGCTAGATATATTTATGGCAATGTTTAGCCAATAGAGTGAATGATGGAGGCCGTGGCGCCATCTCTTTACCATTATAGATAATCGAAACTATAATGTCCACCTTTATCTAGAGCAAACTGCACCACGTCCACGTCCACCTTTATCTAGAGCAAACTGTACCACGTTCACGTCCACCTTTGTCTAGAGCAAACCCCATGGATGGCAAATTGAGGCGATATGAGCATCCCAAACCGAATAGAATCAATGGAAGGCCAACTGGCCAACAGAAGACCACCTATAAAGGTGCTTGTTTTTTTTTTTTTTTTTTTTTTTTTTTTTTTTTTGCTAAAGTTAGTGTCTTAGGAAAGAATTGTGAACCTCGGTGCCGTGGCTGATGGTCAAACCGATCGAATCAAAAGCAGCTATCCTTTACGCAAGCGATTTTAGCGATATCTTTCTTGGGCATGGTTCGAGCAGTACCATAAATTTACTTGTCATTTCTGTTGTAGAATAATTAGCTAACACAATCTTTCGTGAAAATAACTGTATTTAAAATGTCATAAAATAAATTAATGCAAATCAAGCTCTATTTTCAGTGAAAGACTGCAAAATTTATGAAAGGAAACAGACTTAAGATCAGGTATTGCTCCAACAATTTTGACGCTTGACACATTCGCAGTCTATCGCAACTCCCTGTTTACATCACAAATCGGAAGAGCAAAAAATCGTCTCTTTAAAAATCCATCTTTATTAATCTACACCACAATTACTTCTTTTTTTTTCCATTCCTGTGCCTTAACGTAGAAATCAGTTCTGAAAATGGCTACTAAAATGAATTCTCTGCTTTGAAGACTAGGAATTGTATTATTAATTTAACTATCTTTGTAACGTGGAAAGTTCTGTACACCTACAGTAAATAAAATTGGTATATAAAATAAATTTCTAAGTTATAAATCTGAGGCTCATGAAATTCATTTGTGATGTTAAAGTTTGTCAGGAATCGAATCCTTCAGGTTCTTATACGAGAAGTATGGCGATTACGTTTGCGGAACCTTGGTGAACAGCAGATATCTCATATCGTTACTCTTACTCAAATTAGTCAATACTTTTTTACTCTTTCTTAAGAATTATAGGTTATAGTGCATATCTGCCGTTTCCGTAAGAGATTAAAAATCCAAGAAAAAGGAAGTACAGAAGGAGGTGCCTGGAGTGCAGGTAAGAAACGTCTAAGTTTTGTTATGAATGTGCATTATGACAGTTTTTTTTTTTACTCAGTAATGACATCTTAAATGAAAAAAATTTCTAAATGGAAAATATTGCTGGGATAGAATTTGTATGCTTAAAGCTAATGTTACTTCACCCAAATATATTTTAAAATCGTGGTAGTTCTATATAAAATTAATACAAATACTAAGGAAACATGCAGCATGCAGGTGAATACGATAGGCTTTTTTCTGAAAAATTAGAGATTTTTTGGTGAGTACCAAGCAGTGTGAGGCAAGGAACAGAGGGGGGGGAGCAGGTGAATGTTTAACATTTAAAGCTCTGGCGGCAGAATTTAAAAGCTGCAGAGGTTGGACTGGGCGGCAAAATGCCTAGCGCCGACCATAAACACACATTTAATTTGTCATAGAAAAATAACCAATATTCTCGTATTATCTGTAATATTATCTTAATTTCTATTTATCCTTTAAATTGCTCTTACAAGGAACCCTTTTTAGTTTTCTGCACGACGATTCAGAATGCATGTGAAGGGGCTAATCCTATTTTTCAAAAATCTGCTTTGACTGGCTAAGAGATTTAAAGCTCGAGTTTAATGGGAATTAGCACCAGGTCTTGTTGAAACCATTAACTAGCATTCTGAAACCATTAACTAGCATTTCTTCATCGTATAGGAGGCGCCCCTTTTATGTGATCACGTTTGTCCATGACTCTTTTTATAACATTAATCGAATGATAACATCAGGAAATAAATAAAAGGAAAAAAAAAGAAATAAACAAAAGAAAATAAAGTAACAAATTCTTCAAAACAGCAATGAAATTTAATTCATTTAATACAAGGTAATAAAGCAAACACATAAAACGTTAATAATGAAAGACAAAAAGCAGTTTTGTAAAGCCCTCTTTAATAAGAAAACAGAATATTGATATGATAAACCGAGAAAAAGACTCAAAAAAAAAAAAAAACAGAAAAAGGTATGTCAACACTTTACGTGCATCTGAAAATTTTAAACGTATATTGCTATGCTGATTTTAAAATATTTGTAATTTTGCTGTTATATTATATATGGCGAAAGTCCAAAGACAATGGTGCTTCATAAAAGCTAAAAAGATTTTTAAAAAATGGATTAGTAGATGTGAATGTAACAGTAGGCCGGTAGACTGCGAGCTCAGCAAGAACGTAAAAAGCATTAACAAACCCTTTTGAGAACCTGTTAACATCTGAAAACTTTCAGAATTTTTTCTTTTCTAATTGATGTTTTTACTAGTTAATAAATTCACTTCTTAATTCTGATGTAAAGAACTGCATCTTATGAAAACCGACTGTCAGTGAAGGGAAACACATGTAACTAAAGACAGCAGTTTCCGAGGCTTTGACCTTTTATATTCTGAGACAGAAATACTTATAAAGAGATCTTTGTCTAAAGTTTTAATCCCTACACTTGAGTGCACCCACACCGACGACCTCAGATATGCTTCATTTTCGTTAACATCAAAAGAGGTACGAGCCGTGGAAAATGCTAATTTGCGTTCTTAAAAGCTTAGAAAAGTTTAAGTGGTTCATTTAGGGAAGAAGCGGCTCGAGAAATAACTTTAATGTCAAAATAACTTTTATGTCATAAGTTTGGTGATCATGATTCTAGCCCTAGAAATTTGATGGTTTAAAACGAAGTAAAATGCTGGAAGATATTCAGCATGATAGAAAGGTTTGTACCATAAAATAGGAATACAGCAAAATAACTCAACGTAGTTGAATAAAATTTTGATTTCAGGTCATAGAGAATTAAACATCAGTGTAATTTAACAAAGATAACCGACTATTTAGGAAGTTGGTTGGTTTATTCGATTGAGCACTCGAGAACCATCTGCCTAAGGGGAAGGATGTCGCTATGGAATACCTTCTAAGGAAAACTGGCTCGTATACACTTTACACATGGAGAAAACCTCGAAAATATCCATGCAGCCAGTCCTTTTGCCGAGAATCGAGCCCAGAGCGAACTACCAGTGTTAAGCGACTTTACCGCTCATCCTCTGGTGGTGCATACTAATTAAAAGTGATCTACTTTAATAACACACATCGTCCCCACAAACTCGGCTTTTATTTTCACAAACATTGGTCGTAGACAGATACCTCCAATTACAAAAACTTTTAAGTGACACGAAGACTCATGTTTTGGTATTTTTTAAATAATAAAAGAAAGCAAATTTTGTATGAAATATTACATTTAACTTTTTACGCTATATTTCGGCTCCTGCACTTATGTTTAGGAAACTCGGTACTCGGTATAAAAAATAGAACACGTTGAATTTGATTCGCGTAAGGCAAAATGAACCGAGATATTCGATATTAAAATCCTAGATTATATTCAGGGGGTGTGCACAAGTTGAAAAGCGATATGTTTGCATTTGTACGTAACTGAAAATAAAATACGTTTAGAAAATAGTTCTGATATTAAAAAATTACGTGACGAGCATTTCAGTGCATATTATTATGAAAAATATTAACCATTATAATTTTTTTTTAAATGGAGATCCTATTCACAGAATTTTACAGAAATCGTGTTCTAGAAAAAACTGACAGGCTTCAGTATTGGCACGTAGACAAATAGTAATATTATTTGCATATATTAAAAATGAAAAATATTTGGACATTAATTTTTTTATATTATCAAATTGTAATTCCAAAGTAATAAAATTTGAAGAGAATTTAAATTACGCACTTTTTTTAGACTTTGAGAACTTATAAATTATTTGCGTAAAATGCTTTCGGCATGCCAAATGTTATAAAATTATAAAGTAGAGCCACTAGTAAATCACAAAACAGTACACTGAATGGCATTTAGGGGATCAATTTCGATTTAATTTAATTTATTTACTAGCCCACACCTCAATGCAAATTGAATCTAATTTGATGGCAGATTTTAAAATTAAATATATCAGTCAATTTTTGTGATACTTAAGTCAAATCTTTAGTGTTGTATTTTTATAATGTGTACAAAATTTTCTTAACATAAATATAGGGACCTGAGGAACGTATAAAACGTTGCGTTTCCTAATATTTACAGAATTGATGTCTTTAAATTTAAAAATATCCAAACATGAATCTTCGTATCATTTAAAACAATGGCAGACATATAAATCTATTTATAAAATTGAATATTTTTAAATAGATTTATATGTCTGCGACCTGCGGTTCCGAATATAAAGAAGGCCTTCTATGGGTACACAGTGAATTAGAAAAAGGTAGTTGCAGCTTCCTTAAACGCTGAGACTAGAAATATACTTTTCAACTACAATGTTTCTTAAAATAATGTGCAGCATTTTATAAAATCTGTCATATCTGTAGGTAGGAAAGCTTCTATAAACTTTGTTTGAAAAAAATAGCAAAAGAAAATTCATTTACTTGGATTACAGAAAGCACGTATTTAGCCTACAGGTAAAAGACAACACATTACGGCTGACTATGATGACTATTAGTATGGATAGTTGC